GAGACAAAGGAATGACGTATCATTTATTCCTTCATTTCAATGAGGTGTATGCCTTACTATTAATTGCGCGAGTTACCCCCATCCTCCTCCCCAAAAGGAAGCCATGTTTACTCTGGCAAACCTGCCAGCTTGTTTTCACAGATGACTATATCAAACGATCTCAAAAACAACTTGGAGCTACGTGTCATAGCCGTTATTTTTTTCTTCTTCCAGGCTAGGATATCGCGTTGTATTACGTAACAATAGAAAGCAAAACCTCCTCTGTAGTGTTATGCAACTCACACATTATGTAACTTCCGTTGTATAAGTGCCTCTTATGTTACACTGAAGGTTTCAACTGTGCGCCGATGAATGGGTTATTGTGTAGCTACAGCACGAGACATGTTATCTGATACGGACATGGGATGACTAAGGATGCACATGTATAACAATCCTTTTAGGCCGATGGCACGTGACGTTAGCTATAAAGAACACGAACTCACCCATTTATGTCAAAACGTCCTGAGGCACAAACAAGTGTTGAGGTGAACAAGCATGGCGACTATGGTAAGGGTCTACGGTATTATCTTCACTAAAGAGTATCTGTATTTCATCATTTTATTGTTGTTCATTATGATGTCGAATGTTCCGAAAGTATGCATGTCTTTAAAAGAAAATCGAAGTTGAATGCGTAATCAGTTACGTAATTGATTTGCATAACAAATGTCGTCAATAATGAGTTAGATATGCAGCTAAACCGGCTGGGCTGAACAAAATGATGTACATCTTGCACCAACGAATCGCTTTTTGCAGCCGTCACCGTGCTTTCGAAAGTTTGATGATAAGCATCCTGTTCTGAAAACGCTGTCTAAAATCTGCGAGTTGAAGGAATGATCTTGTGTCATGTTTGGACGTGTTTGCAGTAATCAAATTCCTTTTATGGCAAATGGTTTACGAGAATTCTATATCTACATCATTTATAGCTGTGCAAGATTTACAGTGTTTCAGTTACGTAATCTTAAGTGATGGCCCTCTATTAAAAGCATATTATACTTATCTCGAGGTTATTCAAACAATCACTGAGAAAAACATTTTTAAACATGTCAAAGATATCCTATATTGAGTGTTGCATTTTTTTCTTTTTAAACCTGAAGTAATGAGAGCGGGCATGAGGAGCGGGGCAAAAGTTAAGCCAGATCTCCTTACCTGGTTGCTTTTAAGGGTTTAGTGCTATATACTGTCCAGCATGAAAATTTTTTTTACGAAAGGTTTATTCTGCGGATTTGACTCCCCGTTTTTTGGAAAAAAATTTTGCCGTTCGAGTTTCGACTTAAGGTTCTGCAACAGTGTAGATATTTTCTATACATCTTTAC